CCGCTAGGTCGTTCTGACCACAACCTTGTCCACCTGATTCCAGTGAATACTCCAGTGGTGAAAAAGGTGTCACCTCAGGTCAGGGTAGTAAAGGTAAGGACAGAGGAGGCAGTTGAGCAGCTGAGAGACTGTTTTAACACCACAGACTGGGACATCCTCTGTAGTCCTCATGGTGAGGACATAGACGGCCTCACACACTATATTTCGGATTACATAAACTTCTGTGTGGATAAAGCAACTGAAGACATTTTTGTCAGTTTTAGACAAAAGGATTGAGCCAGTCACATGCAGACACAAAATACTGAATCATATAATGCTATTCTTCATGTCAGAATTCACGTTTTACTAGATTAGATGGCTACTTTGGTTCTGTACTGGAGACAAATCCATAGTATGTGCAACATACTTGACCAATAAAAGTCATTATCATTATACCTGCCATTACATCATACACATTTTATATTAGATTTTAGGTCTGCACGTTTTTTTTATTTTAAAAACATGCTAAAAGTCAAATGTCTTGTTTGTTCTAGCATCAGTCCAACACACAAAAATGTGCAATCTACAATGATTTTAAACTGAGAAAAGAAGCAAGTCTTTACATGTGAGAAGCTGGAATTAGCTTAGTTTGCCATTTCAGCTTAATTAACAAATAAATGATGATCATAATTGTAGTTTCAACATCACCCCATAACAGAATACATCTAGTTCATACAGTATATAATCTTTGGTAAAACGTCAACAACACATGTATCTGTTAATTTAATCGTAAAGGAACGCACATGTGAAGCAGTCTTTGTCAGTGCTATTTATGCAACCGTCCTCATCAGTTCTCGCCCTCACTGGAATGCACCTGGTTAAATAAAAGGTTCAAACACATCGTCCGTATCTGCTGACGTACCCAGCAGTAGGTTCCACCACCAGGTCAGGCATCCCCGTGGACGACCCCTGGCTCACCACAGGTGCCTCGTGGTCCAGGATGAAGACCTCATCCTGACAAATTTCTGTCACAAAGTGGAGGTGCTCCTACAAGCACATGTGCAGAAACATACATGATCAGTAACATCTGGCGGACAACCGTTTCACTCAGCACCAAAACAATGACGCGGTGTTTACCTGAGCCTTGTCGATACGATAGAAGCGATCAGCTGATGTGGCTGTAGAAGAGAAACATGCAGGTCAATGGGACGAAATATCTGTCTTGAGTTTTGTATCGTCTCCCTTCATCATATAATTTTATCTCATTTATGTAGTTATACTTTTACTATATAATTTCATTAGTCTCTCACATCCTTTGTCAAAGCACTTAGGACTTGTGTTGTGCCACCAGTTGAGGTGTAAAGGTAGATGTATACCACTGACAAGACCATACATGCAGTATTTATGGATCTACAAATATGTGCTTTGAATCATTAGTGATATCAAGAATGAAACCTCCCTGTGGTTTTTCCTCTTGGCTGTGTCAGAAAATACTCAGATTCATTTGGCTTTTATTGGTGCAAAATCTCCGAAACGCATTTCTCCATCACTTAAATCAATAAAAAGCTCCTCAATAGCTGGTCAATATTTCTGTCAGCAGCTATCAGTGTTTCAGTCACTCACAATCCAAGAAGCTCCAGTTGGAAGAGAGTCTACTGGTTGAACTGGTCCGGGGGATGCTTCTGCTCTCATCCTAGAGACACGGAGACAAACACTGTGATCCTCATCAACCCTTGACTGTGCAATACAACAAAAAGCTTAGCATGAGGAATTAAAGAAAGAGAAAGCAAAAGAGTGAATTTCAGACAGAAGGAACCTTTATCTGTATTATTTTTGAGCAGCTGAACAATCAGTAGCAAGACGGAGACAATCAGGACAATGAAACAGTGGATAGTGATATTTAAATCAGTGTTCGACTGAAATCAAAGACTTGCATGCCAGCCAGTCAGTGTTTCCCCTTTCCCTAACCACAGCTAAGAAATGTTGTTTATACTGGTACTGTTTGTGTTTCACATGTGCAGAATGTTTTTCCCAGTGTGGTGAGTCAGGACTTTACTCAACTTGGGTGTCAGTCTGTAAAATCTGTAGGAAATTATTTTATGTAGCTTCTTTTTGTAGTTTTATTTTCATGCTTTATGGGGATGGCAACACCGATAAAAAATATAACTATTTCAGGGAAAAGTCCTTGAATTTATAACAGATTTTCACTATAAATAGTCAGCTCTGAAATATGTAACAAATATATAATAATAACCAAACTTTTCCCCGAGCAGACACCCAGAAGTACCTGGTAGTGCACCCTGTGGCCAGTAGATGGCGCCTGGTGTAAATCCTAGCAAGCACAGCAGACAGGATTCAGGTTAACACACAGCCAAAGCATTTACACGAAAACCTTCCACAGATGTAAACTCAGACACAGCTACACACAGCTCTGCACTGGTCGTTTATTCATCTATTCACAACTCAGAGTGGAGCGATGACGCTGCATGAAATAGTGATGAAGAGGGGAGAGACAGAGGGAGGAACAAGAAAATTAGAGTGATTATCATGATAATGATGAGGACAGAGGTGAACACTTGCCTCTTGTAATCTGTCGATGTAGAGTCTGCATGTCTCCAGGTCACAGTCCCCTCTCACTACCACAATGCCTACTGGGATGGCTAGAATAAACATAAACACAAACGTCAGACAATAAAACATTAAAGTTAAACTTGCATGAACCCATTTTGGGCCCCTTTTAAAGTGAATAGTTGCTTATTTACACACCCAGTGGCACTATTTCTGGTCTTTACCTGGCTCTTTAGCTGCTAAATGCTCCACTGTGTTCACCAGATAGCCGCTAAACTATCTAATTGGTGCTAAGGAGCTTTTTAGGGCTTTTATGTTGACAACAGCTGCCTGATGCAGCTGGAAACAACACAGTGAACCAAAGCAGTCGTGGGTCTAAAAACCAAAACAGTGAGCTGAAAGCTGCTAAAGCACTTCACAAAGCTGAGAAGGCCTGTCTCTCAGACGTCATCTGACCCATTGTTTGCAGAGAAATATAGATTATAGCTGCTATAAAATATGTTGATTTCAGAAAACAGAACCGTACAGATGTCTCGTAGTCGCTCTTTGTCGTACTGAAGTCTGTCATACTCCTGGAGGCTGATCCGGTTCACACGAAGACGCAGACGATCCGGAACTGCGTGAGGACTAGAAGAAATAACACACACAAGTGCACGCACGTGTGCGTGCACACACACACACAATTCAGACCATACAAACAATGATAAGGACACACATATGCATACATGCACGCACAGACACTCACATCACAAACCAATTCTGAGCTTTTGCAGCATACGACATTTAAACCCTCATCTGTCTGTTGCATTACACTTCCATTTACAGCCCAGAACTTTTTAAACTGAGCTTAAGTTTGAAAGTCTAACATTTCTGCTAACTGGAGGTTGAAGTAGCAAACACTCCCTCCAGCAACTATCGTCTTGGAACACAACACTAACTCTGCATTTGAGTTTGAGGAGGGCCGACATTTTAAAATCAGTGTTTGTAGGTTAGGGGGTGGTGAGGATGGTGGGCAACAAGCTGAAAAACACATCTGGGCAAAAAGCAAATATTGGCTAAATCACTCATCTACCCAGTCTCAAAAGCTCAAAGCCTTACCTGCAAATGGCATCAAATTAAAATACATTAATGTCATTTTTTCATCTCAGCTGTGACTCAAGTGAGACCCAAGGATTGGTGCAGGTATAAACTCAGCAGCAAAAACATCAAGACAGGAGGCAAAAGCACAGTGACAGGTAGAAAGGCTTCAGCATGCTGCCAGACACGCTCCCTCTCCCTCAGACGAACACAACCAACAAAAACCCACATTAAATATGACAAAGTAGGCTGTGACCAATATGAGTTTTCGAGGCCAATACTGATACAAATATCAACTATTTTGTGCAAATACAGTGTTTATTATCTTTTAAATCACTAACAAATGTTATGTTACATCTGTTTCAATTACTAGGGATATAATGATACCAAAAACACACGGTACAATATTGCTATGATAAAAAGTCCACAATATGATATTTATCACAATATTAAAAAGGACAACAAAAGATTAAAAATGCCCTTTACTAAATAATAAACTGGTATTTTTATAAGAGAACGCAGCAGACCTTTTATGAGGTCAAATAATACTGACATTATTGCAGCAGATCTTGTCAACAGTGGAGCATCAGTGTTTTAGTAGCACCTCCGTAGGTTTTCCTTTTCCTGACTGATAGCTGGGCCAACCAGGGGAAGGGTTCTGTCACTGGACCAGATGAAGCAGGGGTCCCCTGACCACCAGAACGAGGGGAAGAACACGCCAAACAAGGAGAAGCCACGTAAAGGTGGCATTTGCGCGCCACTGAAGGTGTTTTCCAAACATTGTGGTCTACCTTTTCAAGAGAAAAGACTTTAGGGTGGTTACTACGTGGTTGGTTTTGCACGTCTGCCTGGTTTGTTTGCTCATCTCCACTAAAATGTTGCGCACAACCGTTTCTGTGAGATACGATATATCCAGGATCGTTTCAGTCCAAAACAGGACTAGTATTGCCTTTGCCCGGCATTTGCAAATTGTTCAGCAATTGCCAGTTTCATCCATGTTATTTCTTGAAAGAGGAAAACTGAAATGCTAGCAAATACTATCAAAATAACCATATGTAACAAGTATCGTTACATCCATAATTATTACACGGATTATCTTTTTAATACTAGGTAGTGTCTTTTATTTATGTTTGTCTGTTCTGTATGTAGAAAAGCATGGATGCTCTGTAAGAAGGAAGATCCCTCTGGCATCTTGTAAGGTTACCTTATGTGTCTTTACTTTTCTCATCTGAAGGTGTATGAACAGACTGATTCTCTTTATAAATAAAATTCACTTGACATTTGTAAGATCTAAGGCTTTTCTTAGTTTATTTTCTAGCAAACAAGTTAAATTTGACCTACAAAATTAAAGTAGTGAGGTTAAATCATCAGTGCAAAACATTAAAAAAGTACTTTGGATAAGCGCTCAATCAAATATCAAACACATGTAATCGGGGTAATTTAATGCTACCAAATAATAAATAATAATTCAATAAACTAGATCTGCAGGGGCTATAAAGCAAAAAAAAGGGGAATCTCATCAGTGTTGTTGACTTATTAGGAAAACACTAAATGATCAATATCAGTAAATCAAATAGTGGCTGAACCTGAGACAAACCGTGACAAAACACGGCACCAACTCACAAACTGTACATACATACAGTGACAGAGGTACTTACACAGAGAAGGAGTCGGGGGGAGCAGAGAGGCGGCGCAGATCAGCCGCACACACCTTCTGAATACTACGGCCACACACACACACATACACACAGAAGAGAGGAGGAATGTATGACAGAGGAGGAATGTATGACAGAGGAGGAATGTATGACAGAGGAGGGGGAGTGATGAGAAGAGAAGGAGAGGTGAAGGTGACGGGGGGTGGAAGGAAACAAGAGGAAACAGGAGAGGTGACAAAAAAGAAAGAAGATGGGGGAGAGGAGAGGAAATAAGGAAGGAAAGGGCACGAGAGCAAAGGAGACAAAAGAAAGAGGAGAGGAGGAGACAGGAGCAGAGAAGAAAGGAAAGGGAAATGAAAGAAGGGGAGGAGATGAGGTGACAAGCAAAGTGATTGAGAAGAGAAGCGAAGGACATGAAATGAGGAAAAGAAAAAAAGGTGAGAAACGGGAGATGAGAGAGGATGAGGAGACAAGGAAACGAGTGAAAAGATAAAAATAGGAAAGGAAAAAGGGAAGGAGGCAAGATGAACAAAAACAGAAGAAGGAGATGGAAGAGGAAAGAAGAGGAGGCAACAAGATGAGAAGTGGGAGGAGACAAAGAAAGGAGAGGAGAGGACAAGAAGGAAATAAAGAAAGCAAAGAGGAAACAAGAAAAGGAGAGGAGAGAAGAGAAAGAAGGGTGGAGAAGGAGAGATGAGAGTGGGGGAGAAAAGGGGGATTAAAAGGAGGGGAAGGACAAAAAGCAAGAAGAGGGGAGAAGGTAAACAAATGTAAACACAACAATAAATCAGAAGACATCGGATGTATTAAAGGAAAGAAGTGGAAATGCAAGGAAAGAAGACAGAGAGAGAAGGAGGGACAGATGGAGAAAAGCCCTGAGGTAAGTAGACAAACACTGATAGCACATCAAGCAAAGACACTAGTTACTGCAGCTACAGCAGAAATCCCTCTCTAGACTCTGTTCTCTCACATGCACACAGTTACTGTCACTTGTAGACTTTAACAAGTAGACCCACATATATAGACAAAGATATACATGAGGAATTATTAGTCCTCCAGGAATGAAAGTGTGTTAGTAGGCACACAATTTCAGATAGTAACATTCTTTTCATACAGTACAGCAGATGCTTTATCCCTTAAAGAAATCACTAAGTCTCCTATTCATCTTGTCGGCTGAAGGGAAAACCACACAGCGTTACATGTCAGTGTGTCAGCGGAGATGCCCCTGATGCGTCTGCTGTGATTAATCTGAGTGGACAATATTACATATGCCTCCTCTGACTGTGGTTTGGCGAGCTGTGGGGCACTGAGAGGAGTGAGTGTCAGCTCCCACTAAACAGATTGTATGACTCACTCAGTGTAAACCAGGCTTTTACAATGCTGCTGGCCTACATCCGCTGTGTGTGTCGCTGTGCGCGTGTGCAATCAGATGACTCACTCGTTGAGCAGGGGCACCGATGTGCGTCGCTTGCTCTTCTGGACCATGTTGGCCTGATTTCGGAGGGAGATGCGGAGAGTTGACGGGGCCAGACGGCACGGCTCACCGTCCACCTACATGCGCACACAAAGACACACAAGGATCGCCGTGACAAGATGAGTACGACTGGGAATCAACATGAGTGACAAGAAGATACCAGACATTTGAGCACTCCAGCCATCTAGGCTAACATTTGTCCTGTGTGTCGGACCCCGACCCAGACCCAAACATAACCCAACCCCCAGGTACTGGCGTTGGGTTTGTTTCAGGTATCCACACTCTAGTCCGCGCACAGCTGCACTCAGATGAAGAGGCATTAGGTGTTGTTTTGTGACTTAAGTCCATTTCCTATTTTACTGCCCAGTAAAATAGTGATTTAAGATAACCACACTTTTTAGTCAAGTGTCTGTTGTTTCTGATGACTTCTTCTAGTTGGATGATTACACAAAGTTGTGTTTAAAGAAGGAAACTGTCTTTGTGGCTGATTTTTTCTGTCAAGCTTGAGACAAGAGACAAAGTCTTGTGTTTGCACTTCAATGTTTTATGTGAGAAATCTTTGCTTAAAATGAAACAAAATATCACATTAACAGGACAGAACACAGATGACAAGGCAATAGATACAGAACATTTACAGAAGAGATAACGTAGGGGGTTTTACATTTGGCTTGTGTGCGTGACGGTGCGTAGTGCGGGTGTGTCTATGTCTATACAGTCTGGTACATATATATTAAAAAGAAAAATGAGAGGAGAAGAATTAATAACAAATAGATAAAAAAGAAATGAAAGAAAGAAAAATAAACAATGTTGGGGCACCATTAAGTAAATAATAAAGTAATAAAGACAGGTTGTGTCTCATTAAGGCCACATGGGCTGGGCCCTTGTATCAACCTGACTAAAAATACGTGTATAAGGAACCAGACCAGGCATCCGATGCCTTCGGGGCTGTCATACAGCCGAGGGCATGCGCTCACCTGAACAGGTACAGTTTTGAAGGTGGTGAGCATGACCTCTCTGCATTGGTGAAGTCTCTCTCCATGTCCACCAACCTGTAGCGCCGCCTGGTGGACAAAAGGGAGATTTACACCAAGAATTAACAGCATCAGGGGAGTGATCACAGGAAAACACACTACACAACTGTTAGAAATTTTGCTTAACATGATTTCAGGATTTCACCATTTATATACAGTAACTAGGACTTTCAAAACTATCATATGTATTTTACACATAACTACCCTTTAAGCATTCTAGCCTCTGTATAAGGTGCTACACAATTAAAGGTAACTAGAACAGGCTAGACTTAGAAAGGAGATGCTAGGAATTTCTCTTGACACCATATATACAGGACAAACCCATCTGATTCTTTGTGACGATTGTACCATATTATGGTGCTGTAGGATCTGCAAAGTAAATTTCCTCAGTTGGGAAACTCTCATGTCCTGGGTCTTCTTCAATCAGCCAATTATACAAGTCAACAACTTTCTTTCACAGTTTTGTTTTTTATCACTGTATTGCTGTTTCTCACCAGCGAAGCCATGGTGAAGCCGATGACCTCGATGCAGCCGTCATCATGGCGCTGTGGTTCAAAGTCCCGGTGGTCGCCTGTGTTTCCCCACGGCATGGTGCCTGCACAGTACCTACACACACACACTTCAAATATGCAACATCACTCTACGTTGTGCATGTTGATGACACGTGCACAGCTAGCCAAGACTCTAGGTGGGTTTTAACAAAGGTTAGACCTAAACATTCTCCATATGCAAAGCAATCAGGTCAGAAGCTTTCCTGTCAGAAGATCTTCCTCTGATGACATCAGAAACAGGTAGCACACCTGTTCATAATTTCAATGTCTGACCGGCAGAGTTGTGTAACTCCGGTGTGGTGTGGGAGGATGCAACTCAGCAGGTTCACGGTCAGAGAACGAAGCCTGAATGAGACCCACAGTCCTTGAGGAGCTGCTAACCAGCCTAAACAAGTTTCATTAGTCTACTGTTCACTGGAGAATTACAGGGTCTAATGAGTTTCTTTTATTATTATGTTAAATGAATTTGATAGTTTTCAATTCAACAAAAGAACTCAGAAAATGTTTATGTGCTTAAAATACTATTTACATATATTAATGTAAGTGTAGGGCTGGGTATTGTTGGAAACTGATACCAGCTGCTAAATGAAACTTTACCAGTACCACTTTTATAAAACCAATAAAACCAACAAAACATACATTACACATTTTGTTCAGACTAACAGTCTTAGAGTGTATTAAACAGCACAATGTGCTCCAGTATTATCCTGAAGCAGGTGTTGTGGGTGTCTTACAAGAAACCCACTGGAGTTATAGTATATTTTTCCTTGCACAGAATATTAAGATATTCGTTTATTATCTGTGAGGTGTTGGTGTTATGCTTATTAGGGAGACCAAGAAGAAGAAATACTGCATTTCACATAGAACAGCTTCACAGTATTTTTGTAATTTAGGGCAGACAGTGTGTACGACTGCCAATATTTATTTTACACTTAGGGCACACTGAAGAAGTGTTAGATTTAAATTTGGAAAGACCGCCAGGTGATAAGTGCTTCTATGTAGTATTTTATATTGTAATGCCCTAGTTTGATTTCAGACTAATATAATTACTGTGTTATTCCAGATATTACCCGACATATCTTGATTCCTTCTCCCAGGTCTGTCTCAGCTCCCTAGTACCAGCACGAGAATATCCTCCATGACACTGATGGATGAGTCTTTCTCAGTGTCGAATATCTGCTTTTCACTATCAGAAATATTATAGTCGGTCAGTAAAGACGTGTTTCCTTTACTGGTTGGCTGTTCTATTTCTGATACTGAAAAGCATTTCATGATCACTGAATAATTATAATTACTCTGAATCTCTGGACATGAAAATGATCCTATAGAAATGTTGCTTATTGATGCTAAATCAGATGCTTAAATCAGAATTTCTGAAGCTTCTTCTTCCCTGCTTTTTATTTGTTCTGTTCTATCTTCAGTAGAACAGCATCAGTGCCTCTGTGTTTTCACTCACCTGGGAATGTTTAGAAACACAATGCACTGGAACTTAAGCTCCTGGATCTTGGGAGTTAGATCTGTTCCATCGCACTGAGAAAAATAAAGACAGTGTGAGAGTGAGATACAAACTGGGCTTCGTGCACCACTGTGTGAATTCAAAACTGAAGATGCAGAAAAACAGTCACTAAGTGAACTCATCTCATCAAATCTCCTGCTGTAACTGCGTAAAACAACGTTTCACTTTGCACATGCTGCTTCAAGCGTCACTCTCAGTTTCAGTGCTGCTGCACTCAGGTGGCATGAGGGATGGGCAGTGACTCACGCAGGTGAAGGGTCACCTCAGACCAGTGGAGCTGCTCAGTGGGCAGACTGTACTGGGCAGCTTTCAGGTGTGAATGTGTGTAAACTGTGTGAGTGTGAGTGTGATGTTCCTGTAAAAAAGAGGTTGCCTCTCAGAGAAACTACACTGAATAAATAATACTGTTAATCCCTTAAGAAAACCCCCGCAAAAGCCTGTTAATATCATTTGAATTTTTAGGAAAACAAGTGTGCTTCAGATGACAAACTGAGCATTTCCACATCAAAAACAAAAACCTCATTATCATTAGGCATAAAACATATAACAAAATAAACTGTAGCATCCTAATTAAGGCCAGTACATGATATGATAATAATGTTGTGACTCGTGGTCGTATCAGGGCGGTCAGGGTCAGGGTCAGTGACAGAGCAAACAAGTCTTGTTGAAGGACATTTCAGCAAGATGAGTCAAATGCTCAGCTGAAGGGCCAACTTTCTAATCACCTGTCTGAACGACTGCCCAGACACGTCGACACGGAAAACGATATAGACTGATAGAGTTTGTGTTACGCTCACCACCACTCTGACATGCTTGGACAAATCCCTGGAGCTTCTTTGGAGGAAATCTGAGAATGCAGCCTGCACACACAGACACACACACAAACAATACAACAGAATTAAACTTCATTCCATTTCCCCTCATTAAAAAGAGATAACTCCCCTGCATGCTTCACCTCACATCCTTCACAAAATGTCACCAGCATCCAAAAAACCTAAGTTAAACTTTTCTAACATTTGTTTAATGGTTTAAATTTGAATCTGACTAGCTAAAAAGTCCCAAAACAAAAAATCTGGAAAAACATTTGTGCTTCAGCATTTATAATCAGAAACTCTCCATGCTATACAAGTGCAGAGTAAATACAACAATTTGACCGTCTGAGTATGAATCTGGACTTCATACTGAAAACTATGACATCTGAATGATTACTAACGCACTGCTCTCACTGTGCAATATTAATACAAAAAGACCACTAAGTGCAATGAAATCTGGAATTGCATGGTGAGAAGTTAACACCACTTCCGACTAGATTTGGTGATATAAACTTTACCTTTAAAAAACTGTATTTCCTGCTTCCCTGTGTCTGCATTTCCTTTGCTTGATTTTTAGGTTTTCCAGTCGCTGCATCTCTTTTTCCTAATTCCCCTGCTTCACATTTCCTTTCAGCTTTCATTCTTGAACAACACTCCACATGTGTCTTATTAAGACAAATAGAAAGTGCAGAGGAAGAAACAAGAGTTTAAGCTGCAGGAGTTTGTCTGAGTGTGTGTGTGTGTGTGTGTGTGTGAGTGAGGTAAGTCGAGAGGGGCACTCACTCCTGCATAAAACATCTTGTTGCGGAATCGACTGTTAAACTTTTCTGGGTTGGCCTCTGAAAACACAATCAGAAAGGCAGAGACAAAACAGGAGAATACATTAAATATGCTGCAGAGATTGTGGAACAGAAAAACAAAACACAGAGGTGTAGATTAATACAGTGAGAAAATCGGACTCATTTGTGCTCGTGTGCACCTGAACGTGTCCACTTTTATATTTGATTTTATTCTACTCAGCTCTCTTTTACAACAGTGGTGTATTAGGAATTAACTGGAAATATTATAATATACAATTACCCATATAAATAGAATCAAAACAGGGTGGAATGAGAAGCAAAGACATTACAACAGATTTCACTGACCTCTAGACTCGTGGAACTCCAGGGTGACGTGAGCGTCAAAGCCCAGACTGAAATAGTTGTTGAACACGTTCAGAGGCAGCTGGGGACATGGGGAAAATATCAACGTAAGCGCATAAGTATTCCATAATATATCAACACAAACAGTTCTTCTTTATACTGTGCAGTACCTAACACAATGTCCATCCATCTATTGATGCTCCATATCCAAATGCGCCTGTGCAGTATACACACTTTACTTCCATAACACTTGGAGATTTTCTCCCTGGACTTTTATCTCCACCAGACAAATGCGAGGACAGGGTACTGAGTATCGGGGTTCACCAACCTGTCAACCACCTGTCGGTCTTTATGGCATTAGCAAGGCATCAGAAAACTACCCTAGACCCATATCACTACTGCATCTGTTGTGCCAAGTTACTGCAAATGCAAAATGCTTCCTGCTGCTCTGGTTTCATAGTAAGAAGTTTCCCAAAAAATCTGGATGAACCCGGGTTGAATATCTTGTTAAAAAGCTTCTTGCTAAGGGTAAAAAAGCCATCATGCAGAAGAGGCTGCAGTCAAACCCTCCAAAAGAGGGCGACTGTGTGTCCTGTAATTTTGAGAGATGTCACACTGTCAAATTAGCAGATGACTTTGTCTCTGCTGGAGACTCTGTAGTGTCAGACTTCATCGAGTGGTGCAAAGTGTCATTCTTGGACATCAGTGTGTCCAAAACTAAAGAGATGGTAGTGAACTTTAGAGAGAGAGAGATCAGCTGTCATCCCTCCTTTATTGATAAACGATGAGGTAATGGAGCCTGTACAAGAATACCTCGGCACCATCATCGATAATAAGCTGACCTTTGAGTCACTGGTGGGTGCAGTAAAAAGGCACACCAGCATATGTACTTTTATCAGAAACCAAGGAATTTTAATGTTAATAATAACCTTATGAAACGTTTAATGAACCTGTCCTCACATTTGCTTTTATTTCGATCATCGACTCGGAACAGACGGCAAAGTCCCGTTACAGCCTGCGGGAAGATTGCAGGTATACATCTGACCGACCCCTGTGAACTGTACAGGACCAGGACCTTTTTCCTTTTTCTGTGTAAGTTGAAAAATAAAAGGTTTTCAGAGGCGAATCACACTGACATTTGTCTTTAAAGACGACTACTATTATTTGCCATTACTTTGTGTGCACAACAAGCATGTTTTTCTGAGCTCTTTTGCAGTGTAAGAGTGAGGAATCTGACAAGAAGCAACAATGTGCTGGTTGGCTGAGGACATACAGGAAATACACAGCAAGGCAAGGTGCTCCCTGTGTGTAGCCCTACCTCTGAAAAATATTAGAATAAAACTTGAGACGCATTCTAACAAAATAACCCTCAGAAAAACAGTAGGGTTCAGCTTTTGTGACTGTGCAACAGTTTGTTGTCTCTGCAATATGATCAATGCAAGTACCCACATACTGTTATGGTTTTGCTCCGACTTCCTGTTTTGTGCTTTTATTTTGTAGTCCTTTCCGGCCTCTTGCCGTCTCACCAGCCCCAGCTTTACACTGCCCCATTGCCCTCATTGCCTGTTTGCTTTCCTGTTTCAACATTTATAATCACCTCACACTCCTGGTTCCGGTTGCTGGTTCGTCTGCTCCCTGACATTACAGCTCATTTTGTAATACCATAGTTCCCAGTTATATACACTGCTCATAAAAATAAAGGGAACACAAGGGAAAATAAGACATTCAACTATGTAATGAACAAGGCATTTAATAAGAATATTTCATTCATTCAGATCTAGGATGTCTTATGTTGTGTTCCCTTTATTTTTTTGAGCAGTATATTTAGTCAGGTCTCAGCTTATTTTTGGTTGTTTGTGTGCAGCTGCCTCGTGTTTTGTTTCCTGTGTTTGTTTAGTTGTATTACCTTGCCATTTAGTAGGCTCATACTTTTTCCGTGGTGTTCCTCCCTGCTTTCTGTTCACCCATAGTTCTGTGTTTCTTGAGTTTTCAGTCAGATTCTCTCCAGCTCCTGACACATACACAGTCACAAACCCAAACTGTGAGAGCAGCCTCCTGACCTTCTGTGTGCCCTCCTCTGGCTGGGCGGCGCTTTTCTCTACAAGAAGGTTCCATCTGTCCAGCTGCACCACCGAACCGTCCTCCACATGACACAAAACCTTAGACACCGGCTCATCTGTGTAGCCCTGCACAGAGAGAAACAAACAGAATTTGCATCATATATCATGTAAAGCATC